AATCTTGTTATCAGTATTTAGTATTTCATAAAAGTAATATAATTTTTTGGACTAAATCAGCACTTTTTGCCTCCCATTGGGCAACATTTGATCTGGTTAGTGCTTCCTGCTAGGCAATTACACTTTTATTTTATTCAAGAGATAGTTCCTAAAGTCATTGATCGGAAGAGGTTAAGTTCATCTTGATGACTTCAGTTGACGGCTCCGCCAATAGCTTAAGATTTTTCTTAGACTCGCAGCTGTACTTTTCCGCTGACGGCTGAGCGAAAGTAGTAGAAAAGAGCCTAAGTAAAATGAAGAAGTTTTTATTTCGACCGGTTAAATTAAAAAGTTTCAACTTGAAAATTAATTTTCGTCGAAAAAAAGTCCTTTAAGGTACAGTGGCCAGAATACCGGTGCCAAATGAGTCCTTTCTAGATGCTTGAAGAATTTACGGTTTTCTACAGTTTTGTTAAGGAAATGCATTTTATCTTTCATGATGGTAATTGAAGATTTACATGTAATATTAATGAACAAAAGTAGTAATAAGAAATGAATGCTTGAATGAGATAAGCAAATAATATGTAGTTACTTATCTTGTACTTTTGCACAATTCTCTTAAATCATCATTTTGTGCAACTTTCTGCATCGCTTTGCATTTTCTTGTTAATATATTCCAGAAAATGTTCCTCTGATTATAATACTTTTATTGAAAAATTTTTGTAATGATAATATTTATTGGTAACCAGAATATGTAATAGAAGCTGGTCCATTTGGTATACCAATGAACATCTGCTTTACTGGTCCTTGTTCACGAGCAGAAATGTTTACGAAACTACCACAACAGTCACATTGTAATCACAGTTTCAGAGAGCACGATTTCCATCGTCGAGACTTCTGAGGAAACTTAACTTTCTTCACTACAAATATCGGAAGTAAACTAAAGAAATATTCAAGTTTCCAAAATTGAAACTAAAAATACTTGGGTTGCTGGTGACGTATAAAAGTTTGAAGTGAAACTTTTTTTCCATATCTTCCAGTCACAAAAATTCTTTAAAAACAATTTATCGAAAGATAAGTCATTAACGTAACTGTGGCCTCCCTGTTCGCTTAAATTATACAACAGCGCACGGTAAGTTCCTTCGTCCCGCTAAACACAGCTAAATGGGTGGACATACAACTATTCAAGTACCAAACGATAGCTACATTCTGCTGGAAGCGACAGGGTAACGCACCATAAAAAACACCCAAACTATGAGCTAAACCGCTGAGAAAAAATAAACTCAAACAACTTGAAAAAATACAATAACTAAAACAATATTGGGGTTTTCTTCTTAAGAATCGCTAGGTCAACAGCAGCTAACAAAACCGAGAAACTTGCCAAACATGAGAAGAAAAAGTATACAAGATTAAAATTGATGTTTGGCACCGCTCTAAATGCTATTTCACGGAAACTGCAAAAGTTAGCCAGTAAAAAAAACCACCCAAAACTTTTTTAGAATTGGAATCGCATTTAACCTACACAGATATTGACCTAGCCCGTTTACCACCCCGACAGCGTAAACCACGCCCACGAGGCGCTGTTCTGAACGAATACCAATTAAACGAGCTGCGTAGTTCTCAAAATTTGAAGCCCCAAATTGCTGTACATTTTGTCGGAAATTTTTCCTAAAAGT